GACACAGTTAATATATGGACTATCTATACATTACAACAATAGAGGGTGAGTCTATGATCTTATATGGGAAAGGAAGATGATCTTGTAGCTCAGGAGACAACACAGGATGTTTTATTAGCAGTTTTTCATAGTCAACAGCACATAGATGAGAAACTCTTTGTAGTTGAAAGCTACCTGTTGCTTTAGATAAGAACTCCCAGCTAAAATGGTTAATCTTTCTGTGGAGCCCTCAGCTTTGTTTATTCTGTTGTCCCAGCCGGGTTTTATCCCTTAATAAATCTGTGGGTTCCTGCATTTGTTTGTTGAGTCTGTCAATTAGTGAGTTCTTTGTTTTATCTCTGAGTCTCTGTTATGTGGTGAATGTGCTGACTTTCCTAGTGTGAGTTAACTTCGGCCTGTAGCTTTAACAAGGGGGATCTACATAAAACTAACTTTAAACTTAGTCTACATAGACTACTGATGCTAATTTGGTTTATACTAACTTAATCTATATGTTAATTTTGGCTTAAAAACAGACAGGTGGGGGAGTCTTAAACTTCCTGGTCCTCATGTCAGTCTTAGGGAACCACATTCCTATAAGATCACTAATTGGCTTTATTGCAATGGTCGGGGGTGATGTTTTACCCTTGCAGGGTACCATAATAACAGTAAAACTCACGGCAGAGAAATTGAATACCGGCCAGTTCAAGGACACAAGGGAGGGCTCGTAAACTGGGCCCTGCCTCAGTTTCTTCCCAGTCCAGGCCCTGCCTTAGAATGGGAGGCAGCATCCTTACCAGCTTGTGTTGCCTGCATGGCCCCATCAATAGGTGGAAGGCATGAGAGAACCATAGGGGGGATCTCTAACAACAATTAATGTTTATTTTATTTATTTATTTACTTATTTTGTCTGTTGAGTGACTCTTCTTTTTTTTAGTTTTTAAATGTAGTGTATCATCTTCTACAGGTGAGTTTATTTCCTGGTTCTTCTGTATGGCTTTAATTAACTTAAGTTCTATAAACCTTAGTGTCTTATTTCCTAAAACAGAGATTGCAATACCTACCTTACTAAAACATTTGAGTAAATGAAATGAAATAGGTAAAAAGCACTAATCACCATGTTTGGTATATCAGATGTTTTTAATAAGTGTTAATAAAATTTGCTTGGGGCCAGCAGGTGGCATAGTTGTTAAAGACTGGACTCCCACATGGTTGACTGGGGTTCGAGTTCCGGATCCAGCAGCTTGAAATTCACACCAGGCACGTGTGCATGCATTCCCAAAATCCTGAGAGGAGAATAGAGGAGAAGGGATTACAGCGTAGCCATCCCACCACCCTGGGGGGAGATGGTGATTTTCACCTTCTGTTTTTCTTTCCATTTCTGTCTCTGTGGAAAGCACACATGCCCTGTAGCAAAAATTTCTCTAAATAAATAAGTAAATAATAAAATGTTCTTAAAATATTCAGTAACTATGCCAAACTCAAATTGGATATTATATTTGTAAGGATAGTTTTAAGATAAAACTTAAATATTTTTAGATATATT